TAATAATAGTGTCTTAAATAGTGCTTTTTGAGACACCCAAAGACACTTCACAATTTTCATGCATTATTCATTCATACACACATTCACACACTGATGGTGGTAAACTACATTGACACGGCTGCCCTGGGGCAGACAGATGGAAGCGGGACAGACATGCATCGGCGTCRCAAGTGCCTTGCCCAAGGACACARCAACTGGGATGGATGGAATGGGGAATCGAMCAGGCAAACCACCWGYTACAGGACGACTCCCCCTAACCACTCACCCACAGTGCAATTCTTCTATTTTGCAATTTTTATTCTGTAAACAACAAAAAGCACCAACATAATCACCGCAGCAGCTAACTTTCTCTAAGAACAAAATTCAAACTTTTTTTTCCCACATACAAGGCAGCAGAACATTTGATTTATTTATGCAGGACAGTGGCAGAGCTGCCTGGGGTTTCACTTTGTTGAAACTCAAAGCCGAAATCCTCAGCTGAAGTGTTCCTAGCTGTGGATGAGGTTATGAAATGCTACTTGTGGGCATTTTAATATTGCTAAAAGCTTGATAAGAAGCAAATAAAAAAGATATTATTTGGATCTGTGGGTAAGTTGAAATCATCATCACATTTTGTCATAATTAACAAACTTGCCTTGAAAATGAAATTCAAACTGACCTCAGATTGCTCATCGACTTCCTGTGAGAGTTCTCTGATTTTTGTGCTGATTGAAACAAATAAATAAGAACTTCTTAATTTAAAATACTAGTAACAGAACAGAAAAGCTAATATTAAATATGCTCCATTGTTTGACTCTGGAGTTTCAATTCCACACTGACTGAGTACCTTATCTCACTTGTGTCCTGCTGCACTTGTCCTGAGCTGCTGCCRTCCTGAGGAGCTTTGACCTGCGGTGCTCTGTAGAAGCGATATTTTGCCAGATATGAGCTCTTATCTGACCTCAGGGTCTTGGGGGTGAATGGTTTCCCCTGAGTAAAGTGGTGCGAATGTTTCTGCAGCAGGTCTCCACTGTATGTCTTCTTCACAGGGTCCTGGAAGGTTTTGTAGGCTCCCTGGTCTTCTAAAGCTACCAGTGAACATGTTGACTGCTTTCTATGAAAAGCCTCATCTGGGCTGCGGTACTTCATCTCAGACGAAGGGCGGCTGTGGTAGAGACCGACTTTACTGGATGGGTATGCTACATCCTTAGCGCTGAAGGAGGTGGGGAACCTTGGGCTGGAGATGCTGGAGCTTCTTGAACAGAGGTAGGGGCTCTCATCACACTGCACAGATAATTGGCTCTAAAATAAAAAAGGGGTTTATTTAATTAATTATTCATTCATTCTTCCTTATCTGCCACTTGTTTCAGAGTTGGGTCAAAGGGATGCAAAAAGGTTATATGGCTACATAAACGTGTAAGATATGTTAGCAAAATAAACAAAAAATAATAATAAAAGTGGTGAATTTAAATTGATTTCATACCCGAGTTGAGGACCTGGAAGTTCGGCCATTCCTCTGTGAGAACGAGAAAGCTGAATGAGGACGAAGCCCCTTCTTCAGCTGATTGTTCCTGATCCGGTCATTGTCTGTAAACACGTTTTAAAAATATTTAAATGAGAAAATGGTTCTCTCTGCATTGTGGAAAGAAAGGAATTCTATAAAAATGGCATGCTTTTGAAATAAAATGTGCATTCTTCTAATTCTAAATTTAATTTACAATAAAAAATGGTGAGAAAAATGTATAATTCCTTGTAAAATGTTATCTACAGGTAATAATAATCCTCACACAGTTGACACAGATTAAAGAAAGTCTCTTTAAAGTTGGAGATGAAGGTGACCTGCACCCTGTCCTTAAATGTAAATGCATAATGGTTTCCCTTCTGTGTCAGTGCAACAGTTGTTGCTGTCTGTTACTCAACATCATGTTCACAATAAGTGGATCATTTAAATGGAAATTAAAACAGGGTGCAGTCATAGGCAAATAACTTAAACTCTTTATCATATATTTTGAAGGATTCATTATATTTTTCACCTCTTCTGATGTTATAATTCATTTCACAATTATGAATATTCTGTTTTTGTTTTTTGTTTTGTCAAATAAAGGATGTGTTTACGACAAAAATCGGTGCAAAGCCGTGCGTTTAGAAAAATAAAATAAAATTAGCCACACTGAATCCTAAACGTCAGCAGTGGCTTTTAACATCAGAAAAAATATGCAAAAAGAAAAAAGAAAAATAAACGAACTTGTAAACATTCAACAATAAAGTGTTATAAATTAGTTTCTTCTTTAATGAGTATAATTTGAATACTTACACTTAACACTCTGCAACAAACTTTTGGGTACTGAGGTATCTACGGCAGCTGTAGACAAGATAAAATATTGTTGTTATGATAAAAAAAAAGTCATACATATATGGACATTACGTTGCTGTAATGGCACCTTACCTTTAGCTGAGTAAATCATTTTGTAATGAGAAACCATGTGGTCTTTAATAATGGATTGTGCCAACTTGCTGGAAGAGCGAGGACAGAAAGCTAAAAGCACAGGAAAACAAAAAGAAAATATGAAATTTAAATACTATCCTAAAAAACAGTGGATAATGCTCTCTAGTGCATTGTAATACTTACGACTACTTTTTAAAGTCTGTCCTCTCGGTCCAGAGCTGAATCCTGAGCGAGATGATCCACTACCTAAAAGATAAAAAAGATGCTTACTGACAAATGGGATCAGACTCCTTTTTTTAAAACATACTAATACTTTTATGTGACTGAAATAAAACAATGTTTTAAGTAACTCTTAAAGTGTGGAAGTAAACTTTTCCTGATAATAACGATTTTTTTTAATTGACACATACAAGTGTTTGCGTACACGTAGTTTTTTATAAACTGTCATGTTTTATATTTTGCTTATATTTACAAGTAAAAGAAAATACCCGAAGAAACAGATAAAACGTTCTGTTTTGTTTTTAAATGTCAGTCATCTTCGAAAGTCTTTATGAATACACGCCTCAGTAGCTACATAGCTGAGCTAGCTAACCGATGCTAATATTTTCTTACCTGCTCTCGATTCCATTGAATTGGTAAATTCATCGAATCCCATGTTCTTCAAATATATTACCCAGGAGCGAAGACAGATCTCGTGCGCATCCAGCAACCTCGATGTACTTAAGTTTGAACATGTCAGCGTAACAAAATAACCAAATAAACACCGAGCTCAAACTAATAAAAAGCGAAGCTTTACCGTCGCCATGCTGGTTGCTAGGACTGCGTTCGTCATCACGTCTGTGCGTAAGGGGCGGTCCAATTGAAGGGACGTCCATAGACTTAAAAAGTGCAGAAAACATAATTCACATT